GTGGTAGTGGTAGTAGTAGAAGAAGAAGTAGTAGTAGTAGTAGTAGTAGTAGTAGTGTTGTAGTAGTAGTAGTAGTAGTAGTAGTAGTGGTGGCAGTACTAGTCGTCGTCGGCGTCGTGGTGGTAGTGGTAGTAGTAGAAGAAGTAGTAGTAGTAGTAGTAGTAGTAGTAGTAGTAGTAGTAGTGTAGTAGTAGTAGTAGTAGTAGTAGTAGTCATCAGCATCATGTTCTTCAGCATCTCAATGATTGCAACTACAATGATCACCAACGTCGTTATAAAAGCAGATGCATCGCACGCCAGGGTGCCATAATGATCTGGTACTGCTCGATGGCCTCCCTCGTCTTGCCTGCAACGGTAGGGTCAGGGCGACAGAATGATGGGAACCCGAATGACAGTCTGCTCGCCTGGGCCCGACCCTTACAAGTCACCAAGACCGGACATCCAGTCTACTCCAAATCTCCAAAAGTTCACATACATATATACATGCATACATAGACACATATATTAGCAATACTTACACTATAATATAATGTAATATAATATCTATTTATCTATACAGATTACGTGGTATAACATATTGCATGCTATGTATTGTGTACTTTTGTGTTCCACTGCCTAAGTTCTATTTTATAGCTATAACTTGAAATATCTAATATCTTACATCTTGCATCTTACACCTGATGTCTTAGTTCATTCTTGTAGCTTACATTGTTTTTTACAGTACATTACATTACATTACATTACATTACATTGCATCTTACTATATTATGTTACATCCTGTTGTATTGTACCATATTGTATTGTACTGTGCTTGTTATGTGACGTTAAAGCATGATATGATACCTTGTATTTTATGGTTTTACATTACATTGTATGACAGTACATTGTGTTATATTGTACTGTATCATGCTTTCTTGCACTATGTTACTATGTTATATCATATTCTATTCTTTTATATTCTAACATGTTATATTACATTCTGTTCTATTCTTTTCTAGTATTATATTATCTTATCTTATACTATATTATATTATATTATATTATATTATATTATATTATATTATATTATATTATATTATATTATATTACACTATATTCCAATATATTACATGTTGTATTAAACGATTGGTTATCGATAGTACTATGAGTGTTATTGTTAATATTGCGATTATTTCTTGTTGCTATTATAACAACTACGATGAGTACATACATACTTACATAAGTAGGTGATATACGTATATATATATATATGTATATGTATCTATACACTGCCAGAAGCCCTGCGTCGCGCCCCCTCGATCCTCGAGTACGAACACACATCAACATAATCCTTAGCCTCTAGAGCCCTAAACCCCTAAACCCTAAAACCCCTGAACCCTAAACCCTTCAACCCTAAAACCCCTGAACCCTGAACCCTAGCCTTTCAGGAAGGTGGAGCTCGCCAGAATCTGAAGGCTCGTTTCGTTCTCTGCCACACGCGAGACCTCGAAGTGCCCCCTCTCCTGGCTTGGGGCCTATGCAAAGGATGCCTGTTTCTGCATAGCACCCACACGTAAGATAAGCTAGGATATAAATTACTATTACGGTCTTGTAGAATACTAAGCGAGTGATTTGCATATTCTGTGTGTGTATATATGTACATACATACACAGATACATCTGTCCTTCCATCCATCCATCCATCCGTCCACCCACCCACCCACCCACCCAGCCATCCATGTACGCATGCATGCATGCGTGCATGCATGCACAAACGAAATACACACACACACATATATATACATGCATGCATGCATGCATGCATGCATACATGAATGCGTGCATAGACACACGCTTTGGCGAATAGAGGTTTGCATTTTTGTGGCTTACTACCCAACACACTCAGAATTCTGTCAGGACTACTTTCATGTTAGGGTTGTCAAGTCTTCTGAAAGATCCGGGAGAAGACGCCGTAGCGTTGCCTTTGGATGGGAGCCCTTTGACTTAGGGGCTGGGAGCAGCCCCAACATGAAAACTGGGTGCCGGGGGGAGGGGGGGGGTTAGGGTTTAGGGTTTGGGGTTTAGGCTGTTGCTACAGTGAGGCGTCTTCCGGGAGTAGCTAGTTTAGACTTTAGATGTTGAGGACACGCGCGAACACATCCGTGTGATGGATGATCTGAACATGTGCCTGAAGCTATCGACAAGCTAGCCCAAACCCTAAACCCCCTAAACCCTACGACATCTCGACTCCGAAACCTCAGGCCGCTCAACCCTAACTCCTAGCGGCCCTAGCGCCCTACCTCAAGCGCTGGAAGCACTAAACCTTCTTCCAGGGCCTCTAGGTTAGGATCAGGACATTGGGTTTAGGGTTTAGGGTTTGGGGTTTGGTTTAATATGGCTTGATCTGGTCTAATCCGGCTTCTTGCTTGTGGGCTTCGTGATTTGACGCTTGGGGGTTCCGCGTCGCCATCCCTCCGGAGCGAGATGCTTGTTAGAGCTGAGGGCTTGCTTTGCTGGGCCTCTTCGGGTTAGGGTTTAGGGTCGAAGCAGCACGGAAGAACATGTTCACGGGAAGCCAAAAAACTTTAGGAGAAATTGCAAAGGAGTCACGATGTTGTAGATTCCCAGACGCTCCTCTTCCCCTGCAGGGCCGCTCACGAGAAAGCTTAGTGAATCAGGGAACCGGCCACTCGCACCAGAGTGCACTTCATGCTGGCAACAACTGCAGTGCCGAATCTCCCCAGTTTCATCTGGCTTGAGAAAGGCTTGGCCGACACCAGTCTCTACCAAGCTTACGCAGCCGCCCACCCCCAACACCACAGGGACATGCATTACCATTTAGCTGCGAAGCAGCCGGGCTAAAGTCGCCCAAATCCGGCTTGCAGGACAACATGAACTCCCTAAGCCCTAAAACCAACCCTAAACTCTAGACAGCCCCGCTTGAAGAGCCTCGGAAAGCGGGCCCCTGGGAGGCCATGAAGGTCAGCGTGATGCTCTTGTTATTGAAGTCTGAGCCTGCAAGGACTTACGGCTTTTTGCTTTTTTTTTTTGAGGGTTCATTTCCGTCTGCACGCGTGTGCGGCCCACGGAGGCCTACATGAGGCGAAGCAAATCGGCTTACGGTTTAGGGCTTATAGGGTTTGCCAAGTGGGCAAAGTAGCGGGTTTAGGGGAGACCCATGAAACTCCGAAGGTTCTACCGCATGCAAACGTTAATACTCATCAGCAAACCAAGAGGCATCATCAAGTTCATGGGCCAACATCAGTATCATCACCATAAGCTTCAAGTTATCGTCATCATTGCCGCCGCCAGCTCCAACCCAAGCCCTAAAGCGCGAATCCTAAACCCTAAAACCTAAAACCTCAACCCTAAACTCCCTCAGGGGAGACATGGATTACCTGGAGGCCGGGTCTCGGACCAATGTACTCTGCGATCTTCCTCTCTGTCCGCCGTTGCGACTCCTTAGGGCTGTGAGCTTGTATGCGGCTTCGGGTTTAGGACTTAGGGTTTTAGGGTGTTGGGGTTTAGGGTTCTGGCCTTTCCAGAGGTCCTGCATCCACCAGCCTTAGTTATTGAACCGACCCTTGCAACATCTTTTTGTGGTCCGGGTATCGGCTGGTCTATAAGTGCCTATCTACCTAGGGCTCTGTACTGCAAGTGTCTATGAAACAGCTACCTTGCGCAGTCATGCGATAGAATTTCTGAATGTCGAGGTCCCATCCCTAAACCCTAAACCCATTGCTTTTCCAACTCCAAACCCTGAACTCTAGGTCCGAGCCGGGTCTTCAAGGGGTCTCTATATAGGTGCTTTCAGATCTTTCAGACTTTCAAGCCTCAGTTATATACCATATGAGCACATGGAGCTCTGGCGGAAATGAGCCCGGCAGCTTTCCCTGGCTTCAAGGACTGGAAGCCTGTAGCAGCCCCCCCGGACCCCCCGTGCCACCATCCGACAGACACCTCCCCGACCCCAAACCCTATAAACCCTAAACCCCCTAAACCCTAAACCCCCCTAAACCCTAAGCCCTAAGCCATGTGCCTGCATTCGACTGACACCTTCGCATCGGAGCTCCGCTTTTCGAAAGCCAAGGTTCCGTGGGTGCGGCCGGATCGGAGCTCAGGGCAGTTAGGAAGAAGGCGCTGTGATCCTTGGCTCGCTGAAAGGGGTTTCTTTAAAGGGTACTATATAAGGGTTCCTTTAAAGGGATCTATAAGGGTTTAGGGTTTAGGGGTTTAGGGTTTAGGGTCTAGCTTGGCTCGCTGAAAGTCTCGGTTTGAGCATGGGCTTCAGTCTGGATTCCATGCGTAGAGACGAGCAGAGGCGACGATCAATAAACCACTCAACTTGAAGTTGGGTTTCGGACCCAATTCAGGGCATTATGGATATTCACCAACGCAAATTGTGTTTGAGACTTCAGCACATGAAGCGTAGCCAACCCTACCCTACCACCGCGCACCTTCTCAAACCTGAAACTTCACAGCCTCCACTACCCTAAACCCTAAACCCTACATCCGAAACCGAAACCCGAAACCCAGTACTCCGAACCCTAAACCCCGACTTCCTTTTTACGGGTGAGGCTCGGTGCTGAAATCGAACTCAAGGGCCCGGATGTGGCTCCTGAGCCGCCCATGACAGAGTTGCATAAGCAACAGCCGGCAACCTACGGTTTCGGCTTCAGGGTTTAGGATGGTGTTGGAGTTTGACAGGAATTCAGATTCCATTTGAAATTTGGGACCTGCAGCGAACGGCACGCACGCACGCACACACACACACACACACACACACACACACACGCACACACACACACACACACCCATGTCGGCAACATGGCCGCAAGAGAGTCACTGGCATCTTCCGATCACACAAGACTGCGGACTTCGGATTTATAGGGGGTCTATAGAGATCTAGAAGGGGCTATATAGATTTGAAAGGGACCCGTATCACTTGACAAGTGCAAATGGCCAACCTGTTACGAACAAGTCTCGTCGCATGCGCCACATGCTTGGCCGCGATGAGACACTGTATGTGCTTGGCAATCTGCATGGGTGTGAAGTGGTTGTAATACCTTAGGTTGAGCCAGCCAGAAGGCCGTGTTGGGGGACACATTTCAGCAGACTTAGCATAATATGGGGACTCTGGGGGATATTGGTACTGGTTGTTCAGATCGCTGTAGTATGCACTTTCAAGCGGCTGACCCCATAGCCAATTCAGAAGCTGTCAAGTTGTCGCCTCAGTCTCGGAAGCAGTTTTCCCCGACCACTTCTTTGAGAAATAATGCTCTGAACAGCTGCCGCTGAGCTGCCCTCTCTTGCACTTTCAGGGTTTAAGAGGGTGTGAGGGTTAAGGCTTAAGGGGTTTACCTTAGCTCCAAGGTGCATTCGATGAAAACCGAGGCAGTTG